TCGACTTTTTGTCTTTTTTTCAGTTCGACTAAAAGTTTCGTAATTTTTAGCAATAAATATAGATAGCGGCTGTCATCAGGGAGTCGATGCAATCGTGTGTCTTGGGCGGTTTCGTCCATTGGATGTTTAATGTTAAGAAAATTCACTGTTCCTCAGTTTAGTATGTGCAAAATAGTCGAAGTGTTATCTGAATAATTTTAGCTTTTTGTTTTGTCTAATTCGCGAATTAAAAATTTCCCACGTGAAACTTCACATGCTCATACGTGGAACATAATCACACATGAAAGCTGGATATGAAGTATCAGGGTTGTACATTGAGAGGAAACATCATAACAAATCTCAACTTTTGTCCTTGTCGGTTCGCGAAGCAGAAAATTTTGCGTCAAAGCTCCCAAATATTCGCATGTGAATCCTGAACGTTGTTGAGAGCTAAATTTAAATTTTGAGGTAGTGCTTTGTCAAGGAACATTCTCCTAAAATTTTGGCTCCCGGATTTCCTAATTTTCGAGTCACTATTTTTGTGCCAAAATCTCCACGTATTAGCAGAACTAGGCATGTCTGAGAGCCGAATTTAAATTTTTGGAATTGTATATAGGCTTGAAAAATCAAATTTCCGCCCCCTGTCTTTTCTGCTTCTCGAGTTTGTGATTTTATTGACAAAAATTTACTCACGCCCAGTGTAAGACGTAAGCGTAAATGGAACCTGAATTTAAATTCGCAGGATCGCATGCAGACGGAAATCTGAAATTCCAGCTTCTTAGCTTTTCTGGTTTCTGACTTGAAGATCCCAGATAAACGCTTTCAAAAAATATACAAACAATCTCTACAGTAGGAGTTTTTTACAGCTGTTACAGCACAAAAAGAATTAAAAAGTAAAAAATCTGCTAAATACGCCAATTGTCTTTATAACATGGGTGGACACCAAGGCGAATTAAAAATTGACATGCGCACTTCTCCGGGATGTTTGAAAACACATTAAACTAAACCAAGCATGTTCAGTGCATGTTGCCAACGATTTTCAAGCCAATAGTCAAATGAGACTTGTGGTGTTGTTTTCGTAAAATTTTAAGCCAAATTTTCCTCTTAGTTAAACGATAAGCGATTACTTTTCGTCAACTTTTCAGCTAGCAACTCTAGAAAAGGGGGCCACTGACAGCCTCGGCAGCGGGGGGTTTTTTTTTGGCCTTTGCTGCTACTTGAGCTGCTTTCAAAGCGCCTCCGGCTCTAGCCGGGGAAGAATATGAAAGAGTTTTGACTTTTAATTTTTCTGGTTATTTTCAACTTTGAAACACTAGCAGAGTTTATTCAAAGTAGTAAATGAAGCACTACAATGCTTAGTTCTTTCAGCGGCCCATCTGCAAAGGTCAAGTGAGAGTGGAGCCGTCAGCACAAACCTACGAGCAGTCAACAAATGTGGAGGAAGAGTACGTTTCTCTTGCGTTATTTCCTTATCGGTTCTGGATAAAATCAGAAGCTTTTATGCATTCTAGAAAATTAGGATTTTTACTAAATGCATTATCAGTCATCCAGATAAACTAGACTTTTGTATTTCAAATCTGGTGCTCCAAAACGGTTTTGCTATGTAACGTAACCGGCAGGCAACGAGACCTTTCGTTTTCGCATTCGATTTCGATATGAAAGTTGTGCAGCCAACTCTTACATCCAGAGAATAATCTGTAATCACTT